ACTTTTTGACAACAAAAAAATATAAAAAAGGGCATCATTAGGCAAAAAGAAAAAAATAAAAATAAGAAGTGCCAACCGCCACAACAAACGAAGCGGAAAAAGTACGAAAGCTTTTTTAGAGGCTTTGGCTTTTTTTACTTATTTATATTGAAACAGGCAAGTAAAGAGAAAAAAGAAAAATATTAAATGAAGAATTAGTTTGATAAATTTTTTTGTTTAAAAATAATTTTTTGGTAATTAAAATTGGTGGAAAATACTAATAGTTTTTGGGATTATTTACTTATAAAAAATATTTAGATGGAAATAAATATTCAAAATGGGATTTTGTGGGTTGAAGAATTAGTTCGATCATTTAGTATTTAGCCTGTTCAGGTCAATTGGTGAAATAAATAATTAATATTTTTTAGATTAGGAATGAGATTAGTTTTCCAGTAGTATTTATCAATTTACAATTAACAGAAAAAAATAATCCGAATATTATTTTTAATTATTTTTTGACTAATTTTTACATTGGATTTAATCCAAAAAGATTCCTTAAATTATTTAACTACCTTAAAAATCGGTTGATGTGAAGATGGCGTAAAATGACAATTTCGGTGACATTGAGGCATTTGTGAATAATTCGAAATTATAGGAGAATATTCATTTGTTGTTTTTTGTTGAGTTTGTGGAGAGTTGAACTAAAAATTGGGGAAAAAAATTTTCATTAGTTTTAAATTCTTTAAAATTTTTGTAAAATTATTTTTATTTATTTTTTACTCCTTTTCGTCGATTAATTATTTTTGTTTTAGGAGAATTCTCAAATTTTTGAATAAAAAATATTTCTTTTTCTTCTTTTTCATTAATTTCTTTATTTTCTTCTTTTATTTTTTTAAAATTTCTTTTTTTGTTAAACTTTTTTATTGAATTTTTTCTAATTAAATTATTATTTTTTAATTCATTTGTTTTCAATTTTTTGGCATAACATCGGCGAGAATCTCGAAGATAACAAGCTGTGAGACGTCCAGAAAGTCGACAAACGTGAATATTTTGATTTTTGATTGTTAAATGATTAATTGAATTTTGGTGATTGAAATGATTGGTGCTCATTTTTAGAAAGAGAAAAAATAAATGAAAAAATAAAATATATCTAAATTCAAGTTAAATATATTTTTGATTGAAGATGTTTTAATTATTAATTGGATACTAATAGCTACTCCAAAAAATGGGAAGAGGAAAATCCAAAGTTTTTTAGGATAGCTCCCTGAGCCGACGGGGTCGGAAGTGTCGGGGATCGGGATTTTCTGGGGTAGAGCCTTCGTGGTTAGGGTCGGGGTTTTTGCCAAAAATTGTCGGGGGACCGAGAGCTATCCTAGTTTTTTTAACGAACTAAAGTTTTATATCTCTTTAATGAAAAAATGATAATGGGATTTATTTGGTAAAAGTAACAAATACAAAAAAATAAAGATACCTAATAAATAATTAAACATTTTTAGTATTTTTAGGGTTTTATTTATTGAAAAAAAACATTCAAAGGTTTATTACAAGCCAAAATAAATTGTAAAAAAATAAAAGAGAAGCCAGCCGATAGATGTGAATAAACTAGGAATGACTACTCCTTCTACTATTACATACTGATTCACAAAAAAAGCCCGTTAGTCACAGTTTTTGTGTTTGATGGTCAGTCAGTTGCTCCCAAACAAATATATTTTTTGGAAATTTTAAAAAAGGAAAGGAGAGATATTGTCTTTTAATATTTTTGAGAAATATAAATTTTATTTATTTTATTCGCGCTTTTATTTCTAGAAACTCAAAATTATAAATATTAAAATAAAAAAATCAAAAAATAATTTAAGAATTTTCAAATTTTCAAGGTTAATGGAGTTGTGAAAATTGAAGAAAAAACAGACTAAAACTGACGCTTTTTAGTAAATATATTTTTTTGAATTTTAAATTTAAATTTAAAATAATTTTTATTTGTTCTTTCCTATTCAAAAACTTTTTTTCTCAAAAAATTAATTTATTTGTTTAAAAGCCTAACTAACCCCTCTTTCTTCAAAAGAACAATTTCCTTCAAAAATTTCTTCAGGATCACACAAATCCCCAGAATTTGCAATAGATTCTGTTGATGTATTTTGACAATTTTCATCAGAATCATCAAAATCATTATTTAATTCTCTTTCAATTTCTAACGAATTTACAAGTCCAATACTTTTTAAAAATTTGTAAACAATTTTGTTTTTTATTTTTTCTTTTGTTGGGGAAGAAGAATTAGAAGAGGAGGAAGAGGAGGAATTTTCAAACGATAAAAAACGAATATTTGCAATAATACGAGAACAATTTGAAGTAAATTCTAAACAATTAAAAGTTGTTGTTGTTGTTAATTTTGGTAGATTTTTGTTGGTAAAAGAAGAAGATTCTTTTCTGAAATTTAAATAAAAAAGTTTATTTTGAAGTAAGCAAAAATATGCCGTATACTCTAATTAATTGCCCTCCCTCAGATAGTTACCCCACTTCTAAAGATTACCCCCTCCAATAGGTTGAAACAATTTCAGACCTCGTAAAATTGCCCTCCCTCGATTAATCATTCCCTCCAGTGGAAGGTCGAAACAATAACTACCCAGGGTAGTTATTCTCAGAAATATGGTAGGTCCAAAAGTAAAGGGTGTCTTGAAGTAATGTACCCGTTGATTTTTAAAATTCGAGATCTCGAGGAAGAAGGAAGTAGATTTCTTCTACTTTTTTACTCGAAAAATTTCTATAGAATTCTATAAATTTCTATAAAAAATTCTATAAATTTCTATAAAAAATTTCTATAGAATTTTTGGTCGAACAAAAATTAATGTTTTCAATTTTTTATTGTTTATTTCTATCTTTTTTCTGGCACTGTTATCAACAAAAGAAGTTCTTTTTACCTGCATTTAATATTTAATAATTCTGACATTTTTACATGTTCAGAATGTTTTTGTAAATTTTCTGGTAAAGTTTTGAACAAAAAACATTCAAAAATATTTTCTTTGTTTTTATTAGAAGTTGTCAATATTCCAAACATTTTTTGTTCTGTATGGCTACGAGAAATTGTTATAATCTGATCTTTATTTAAATTAATTGGTGGATTGATGTTTTGATTAATATTTAATTCGTCAAAAATAAATGGAAATATTTGTAACTAGAAATTTATAAATTTTATTTAAAATTATATGGAAAATAAATATTAATTTTTTGAAAAAAATTTTTTGATGATCCAAAAATAATTCTACTTCCAAAATTAATTTAAAAATTATCTAAGTAAATAAAAACCAAAAATAGAATTATTTTTAAAAAATTATTTATAATTTAAATTAAAAAAATTTATTTTACATGATCCTCGAAAGCAGAAAGTAAACAAAATGTTTGTTTTTGATTTGTTGGAATATTAAATTCTTTTAATATCTGAAAAATATATAAAAATAAATTAAATTTAAAAAAATAAAAAAAAATATTTTTTTGTTGTCTAAAATTTTTGGGGAAATTAAAATTTAATTTTTTACCTTTTCAAAATATAAAATAGCATCATCATAATTATTTAAAGGTTTAATAATAAAATCAGTAAATTTTCCAATAAATTCAGTTACAAATAAAGATATTGGTTGTAGTTTTTGTTTAATTAAATTTTTAGAATTTTCAAAAGAAAATTCTTTTGTTGAAGAATTTAAAGGAGGTAATGAACGTCTATGTTTATATTTATTGAAATGTTGAGGTGGAGTATTTAGATGAAATTTTGTTTGAAAATTGAGGCGATTAGACTGAAAAATGAAGAGAAAAAGTAATGGAATTTGAAAAAATGAATTAATTAATTATAGACAATTTACTGGATTTGAACATACTTAGATTATAATTGAAAATAATTAATAAAGAATTGAGGAAAAAATTGAAAAAGAGTACAAAATGTGAGGGGGTTAATTATTATTGTCGTTAGAAGCAGTGAATGGAAGCTCGTACTAAAATCCGTACTCGTACCTGTGTACGAAGTACGAATACGAGCAAATCTCAAAATTCCAACCACTGGTTAGAATTAAGAGTGACAAGGAAACTGATGATTATTTCAATTATAGTCTAAAAATATCCAAATCGAGTAAATTGCCTATTGTTAATAGGAAAGAAAGAAAAAAAAATTTCGTGTCCGAATAGGAATATTGGACGATATGTATAAAGATATTTGTAAATTAGAAAACAAATAAAGCTCAGGTTATTTTTTAAAATATTTACTATTTACTAGTAACTAAACTAAACAACAAATCTTCTTTCCTCTTTGTCTTTGGGAAGAATAAAAGTTTTAGTTATTCTGTTTTCCACATTTGTTTTTATTTAATTCTGATTTTCTTGCAAGAAAATAAAGAAAAATAAATTATATTTTTGGCAAATACCAAAAAAATAATTAAATATAATTTTTTGGCAAACAAACCCAGCGGGATTGATATATTCCTCCTTCCCTTCCTTCTAACGGCATTGGGAACTTTTGAAAGGAAAAATTATTTTTCTTTTTTTGTTGGCCTTTTTCTTCTTCTTTTTCCGTTTTTTCTTCCTTATTTTTATTACCAAAATTTTGTTGTCGTAAATTTCCTTCTGGTATTGTCTTTTTTGTTGTTTGCCTTCTCTAAAAGAGAATGATTTATATTTTTGATTTTTTAAAAATATTTTGCCTTTATTGTGACAAGCATTTCCTTCCTATTTACACATTTATGTGCTAATTTTGTTACAATATTTAGATGATCTAGTCCGTGTAGAGTTTTGCCATCTATTGCCAAAAGCTCGTCATCATTCTAGTAAAAGATAATTTAAAGAAAAAAATTGAATTCAGAACCGTTCTCAATAAAATGCCGAAGCAAAAGGAAACCCATGGAAATGGGGGATTTTATTTATTCACTCAAGTCAGTCAGAAATGTTGCAACATCCCTCAAAGGAAAGAATCTCCCATTAGTTAGTGTGTGTTTCCCTCAAAATACCCATCCATCAAATAAAATAAACAGATTTTTATCCTCTCAAAAACATTTTATCTTTACTTTTAATCCCATCCGATCAGCAACACCGCCAGGGATGACAATCAAACGAGAAGGCTTCTCTCCTTGAATTCCAAACCCAATACCAGGCATTGGAGGACTTTCTTTTTCATTTTCTGATAAATAATTTTCTGTTTGAAGAAGAATAGTGATAATATTTGAATTATATTTTAATTTAGATGAAGACATTTCTGAATATTTAAAAAAAATTTTAAATAAAAATGGAAAATGAGGGAAAATGTGGGGAGGATTTTAATAAGAGAACTTGAACAAAAAAATTAAGGACGGCAACTTCTTTGGAGGCGGTAATATTTGCGGAGAGACCACTATATGCTATTTTAAAGTACTATATTTAATGAATGAATGAATGAAAGGGAAGAATTAAAAGTGTCCACAAATGAATTACATTTTTTTGGATTACCTTTTGATATATTTTTCTTATATAAAAATATTTTTGTTTGTACAAAAATAAGTATGGGAATTTAAATAATTGTTGGTGGATCAGAAAAGTGGTTGACCAAACATTGCCGAAATGAATGGGAAGAAAATAACTTTATTTTTTACTTGTTTTTAGTGGCAATTTTTAAAGTTGTTTTTGAAGGTTATTTTTAATCTTTTCTGGTATTTTTTTGAATTAAATAAGTAGTATGTATTTTGTATATTTAATTATTCGAAAGGAAAAGGAGTTTTTTAAGAAAAACTTAAGTTTAAGGTGTCTAAATTATTTAGGGATGTACTCCTTCCGGGAACTTAACCTTTTATGGAAATCCCCCCTCCCTTATTTAAAAAAACTTAATTTAAAATATTATATAAAATAAGGAGTATATTTTATTTATACATATTTAAAGTACAAAATAAAATATACTAATGTGCAATTTTTGAAAAGGCGGAGTCTGTTCAATAATTCTCACGTCTAGACAATTTTGGAAGCATAAATGTTTGATTATTTAGCAGTAGTGTATACAGAAAACAAAAAAAAAACAGAAATTTAAGGTCCTTCTGCTTATTTTTGGCAAAATTTACGATCCTTTTGATAGGGAAAAATTTGAAAGAGTACATAAACATACACCCAAATGTTTATTTGACATGTTATGGCCTATAATGATGACCTCTTACAAAAATGTATTAATTACTCACAAATATATGTTAACCAGAAACAAACTTGTAAAAGTAATAATTTCCCAGAATTTTTTTTGAATATGACAAAATAAACAAGAAAAAAATATTTTAAAAAATATCTTTAAAAATCTAAAGGATCATTTGAGTTAACCTGAAATTTATAAATACGCGAAAATATGAAGTATTCCCCCCCCCCCCCCTCCCTATGAACTGTTAGTAGATGACATAATTATAAATATTACCTATTATTAACCTTATCTATATTTAGCAAAAATAATGTGAGAGTAAATAAAAAATTTAATGGATGAAATTTTAAATTATCAAACAAAAAAATGGCTTGTGTAAAAAAATAAGTTTGTGAATAAATGCGAAAAGTCTATAAATTTTATATAAAATATATTTGTTGAAATTATTATAATTAAAGAAATTATTTTTGATATTTGAAAAAACAATAAAATGAACAAAGAGTTGAGTAATTGTCTATTTTAAGAAAGTGAAGGCGGTAAAGAAAATTAAAAGTCGCAAAAGAAAAACAAGAAGTGGAAAAACGGTATATTAAAAAGCAAATCAAAATAAAAGGAATATAAATAGGTATATGCCAAAAATACATAATTTTATTTTTAAAAATTTATTAAATATTAAAAAAATCATTTGTTCAAGTTAAGCTTTTGTTTTCATAAAATATGTATCCTTAAGGGTCTGACTTTTAAATAGTTTTATATGCTTTGTGAATACAGGTCTGTGTTTGCGTAAAAATCTTAATTCGCGTAAGCTTTTTAGTACTCCCTTGATTTGTCAGTTTTAAGTTAATTAATATTTAGATCCAAACACACGTTTATAATTTAAAAGTAACTAGGAAACCTTTTAAATTACAAAAGTTTAATTTAAAAGTCAGCATCCTAATTTAAGATAAAAATATTTTTTTAAATTTTGATCTTTACCAAATCACAAAGAATGGAGAACGAGTCTGCACTTTTTGTTTAAATGTGTTGTGCCAAGATTTTGGATTCTCATATTCGTCTTCGGTAGTAGTCATGGCTTCTGATGCAATTGCAGCTTCGTTGACCGGAACGCTTGACGAAGTACCAGCAACTAAATAATAAAAATTTTTTAAAAAATTAGAATGTTAAATCTGCTAGATTAATTTTTATTCTTAAATTTATTTTAGAAAATTTTGATTAGTGACCGGCACCGGACCGGATTTTCCGGTGTCCGGGTCCCAAATCAGGGTTTTTTGAAATTTCCGGACTAAATCCGGACTTCGGTCCGGCATGAGTGTGAAATCCAAAATTCTTTCCGGGCCCGGAAAAATGATTGTGTCGGTCACTAATTTTGATGTTAATATGAATACTCTAAATCCTCAAGACCGATTTATAAAAAATTCTCCATACTCAAAAACTATGAAACTTGCCATTATCCTGTATGCGCGGTTGTTCTGTTAAACTTTTTCCACTTGTTGATTGGTTTAAATTAGTCGTTGGAGGTGTAAGCTCAGTTGTCGTTGTAATTTGGCTGTTACTGCTTTTGATATTTTTTACAAGTTTTCGGAATTTACGAAGTTTCTTTCGTTTTATTTCGATCATATATTGTGGAGTCATCTTTAAAGGGAAAATAAATTTATTTAAAATTATTTTTTATTTTTACCTGAACAAGTTGAGCAGGTGATTTTCTAGCACGTAAAGCTTCACGTAAATTAAACATTTGACCACGAATTACAGATAATTGTTTGGCAAATGTTTTCTTGTCAAAGCCTTTGTCTGCCTAAAGAAAAGTATTTTAGAAATTATTTTATAATTTAATTACCTCAAATATTTTTCGAAGATCATTACCCAATTCACGCACAAAATCTGTATTGTCAACCAACGGTAATACTTTATTGACTATTTCATCGCTAAAAGGACGTTGAGCAATTGAAAGGCCAACCCATTGGTAAGGATCTGAAATTGTCAATACAAGAAAAGTTTTTTTATTTACATGCTCTCCATTGATCTGGATGTTTAAACGGAAAAGCAAGTCCATTGTCAATAGCAGCAATTTTTGCATTAGGCATAAGTACACTCTCCCAACCTGCACTGTCATTTAGAGTTTCATCAGCTAAAATAGTTTAAAATGAAAAATAGCCAAAATACTTTTAACTATTGAATCTTAATTGACATTCTATTATTCCCCTCAGACCTCAACAATTTTAAAAGTCAAATACCTCCGTCTATTTCCTCATTGTCTTCATGAAGATCGATTAATTTAGCATCATCCTGAGAGTTAATTTCCTCGTTCAGTCGCATTGCAGTTCCCGGAGCTGTCCCATCCCTCGTCTTCCCCAGTAATCCAGAGGTGATATCACCAACCTTCCCTTCTACAGTCACTGGTTCATATTTAATTAACCAATTATCATTTCCACGATCAGTATTTCGAATCAAATAGTCAAGAATAACCATTTTTTCAAATTCCAATTGGAATTCAGACATTACAGAAGTTGGTGGAGCCATTTCAGGGAAAAGTTCCCATTGTCGTAACCAATAAGCAGCGTCTTGATAGCCATTCACAAAAAGCTGGAAACTTCCACGCTGACAATGAGAAAGATATTATTTTAGATTAAAAGGTAAAAAGTACCTTTGGAGGTAATCCAATACGCCGAAAATGTCTACCAATATCAGGATAACGATCACGGATTCGTTCCTTCGTGCGAGTCATAGCACGATCAACACGGCTATAATTGAATGTTGGAGCTGCAAGAGAAACAACTGCTGTCTTTGGTACAACATTCAGGCCGAGTTTTTGATCAACCAAAGATGCACCAGCTTCAGATAAATATCCCTAAAATATACGAAAGTTGAATTTCATTTAGTTATTAAACTTGATTCGGTACAAGACAAGAACGTCCAAAACAGCAAGGAAAAAACAACTTATGTAGCCACTTAATCCACTTTGGATTTAAGGATCCATAAGGTTCTTCATTTTTCGGTTTAAAGACAGCAATTTTTTCCTAAATTTTCATTTGATTTTCAAATCTAGACTAAAAAACCCTCTTCAAATTCTTAACAAAATAAGATCCAGAAGAGCCTTGAGCAATTCGTTCAGGGTAAATTTCATGGTTTATAGCACGGATAGCCTCAGCGAGATTATCTGCAAAATCTGTGCCTATTGTAGTTCCATATTGCTCATTACCTTTAAAAATAGAAAATTAAAATCAATTTTAGAGATCTTACACATTCGTGAAATTTCCTCATCAGAATGTTGCGAATCCAAAGTATTTACCCGTTCCGAACGAATACCAGCTTCATCAGGTGAACTCATTTCTCGACTTGTAGGACTTCTCTCAGGGAGTAGAGGGGTACGCTCCTCTTTCTATAAACAAAAATAAACAATTTAATTAAAAATTATTTCACCTTGTAATTTCCACTTTTAATAAAAACCTGAGTTTCGTCGTCTCCGGACTCGGCGTTAAAATCTTAAATGAGAAAGTCAACGAGGAAAAAATAATTATGCAACCTGTTTCAAGGCGTAAAGTTGTATTAACAGAATCAGATGTTGAATTTTCTTGCATAGAAGGGACGCGGGTATAGGTAACCGCGTCAGAAAATAATCGCAGTTTGGCAATTTTAACAACTTCCTAAATCCATATAAAATTAAATAAAATTTATATAGAAAAATATAATGCATATATGTAAATGCAGATGATTTTAAAAATATAAAAACTGTTCAGAAATTTATTATATTATCGCATGTAGTAAGTATTTACTAAAATTCATAATTAAAACAACCAATAAAATTATGTAGGAAAATACTATAAAACAAAAACAAGTAAGTCTTGAAAGACTAGCAAAATAGACCGGATTTCTCAAAGATTTCAATTCGGGAAGTTTTGTTGGTCCGAAAACTATTATTATAAACCCCTGATGTTGATATTTAATAAATCATTAAAGGAAAAAAAAATTAAAACAATCAGATTAAGTTACAAATCTGCCAAATTGGAACCCGAAAAATCCTTGCCCGCAAATATAGATAGATAAATAATTCAAAAATAAATTTTAAGCCTTAAACTTATTAAGTTTAGCCGGAATTCCATTTTTAGTGAGCATGAGATCCTTTCTTGACTTTTTCACATCATGACCAGAATTTAGTTGCGAAGACGACCTCTTATTGTTAGAATTTTGTTGATTATCACTGGTTGACTTCTTTTTTAAGGGGAAGGAACTAAAAATAATTTTAGACCACCTAACCAAAATAAAACTAAAAAAACCTTTTATTAACATTCTTGTCCATTTTTTTCCTCTTTTCTTTAAGTTGAACTTTTTGTTCATCCCTTGTTTGTCTTATTGACATTTCCATTCTTCGCTTTGCTTCCGCAATTATTTTTTTAGTATTATCGTGATGCTTTTGCTCCAATTCTTGAAGAATTTGATTTTGCCTTGCAAGTCTATTACATAGCGGTCGAAAAAAACGTGGAGGTTCTGGCCTTGGCAAAAATTCATTCGTCCATTTATTGATGATTTGTGGATCTGAGATGTTTTTGCTGTCAGAAATCAATGGATGCGACGTTGTCAATACATCAGATTTTGTATGATCACCATTAGACGTTGTTGGCTTCTCCCTGCTTTCCTTAACTTTTAAAAATGTAATTTTAAAATTGTCTTAAAGGACAGATGTATAGTAAAACTACTACACTTCAATGACGAACATTAAAGACAAAAAATAAATTCAACAACCTTTACACTTGTTGATGGAGAAGGCACAAGTTGATGATGTACAACAGACATTGAACAACAAAGCATAAATAAATTTATAACCCGAATAGAAACAATCACTAAAAAATTAAAATACCTATATGTAAAAAGTTAATTTTTAATAAAATTAAATTTTTAGGCGCAAGCAAAAATCATACGGTTTACTCGTTTCAGTAAAATTGTTAGAATATATCAAAGTATATATTCGCAAAGCAAATAAAATAGCTTAATTTTTAGGATTTTTAATTAAAAATGATAAAAAGCGTAAATCAACGCAAAATTAATAGACAAGAAAAATAACGAGAAACATTTATGTAACAAAAATATATAAGAAAATTTTGAAGAGGACTCAATTCAATAATCAAAGATAACCTCAGAAATATCGACAAAAATTTTAGCCAATCTCCATTAAAAATAGAAAAGCAAATATATTTTGAGGTTGATAGGAGTGTTCCGAAAAATCTACAAAAATTTCTGTAAACATACTCATTGATATGTATAGAAAATACAAAAGAAATGAAGTTCCGATATAATTCCTTCATTGAGATCTGAAAACCCGAAAATCAACGGAAAACCGGGGTAGATGTCATTAAAAAATATTTTCGACCCCTTACAGGTGAAATAAAAATTTAATTTTAGGCTCATTTGAAAGCCCTTGAAATTTGCTACAAGATAGTTTTCATCTCATTATCCAGAAAAAATTATTCTTTGAGAAAAAATGAGTTTAGTTTGTAAGTTACATTTTCGTCGCTTTTTGGGGGCGTTTGAGTGATTTTTATGACCAGAAAGTTTATCACATTATGTCTTCAAGGTGAATTTTTTTCGGAAAATAAAATTGATGCTATCTTGTAGCAAATTTCAAGGGCTTTCAAATGAGCCTAAAATTAAATTTTTATTTCACCTGTAAGGGGTCGAAAATATTTTTTAATGACATCTACCCCGGTTTTCCGTTGATTTTCGGGTTTTCAGATCTCAATGAAGGAATTATATCGGAACTTCATTTCTTTTGTATTTTCTATACATATCAATGAGTATGTTTACAGAAATTTTTGTAGATTTTTCGGACCACTCCTAAGGTCGAAAATACAAGTGGCTGTATAGTTATGTGGAGGTAATTTTGTCAGGTAAAGTGAAAAATAACCGAATAAAACTTAATAATTTCTGAAAAAGCATACTAATCGGTTCATTTGCTGCTTGTCTATTATATTTAAGTGTAAAAATTTCCAAGTTCATATTTAAGAGGGAAAATTTCCGAAAAATAGGGTGGCTGTATAGTTATGTGGAGGACTGTATTTTCTCAAAATTCGATTAGGTATATTATAGGGATGTGTGCGAAAAGATTATATTTATAACGGACAATCATTGTTTCCGATCTGGTCGTCGTCGCTGACGTTTAGGTTTTCACTCATTTTTTTGTAGACGACACAAAAATAAATTCAAGACACTGGACGTTAGAGCGAACGAACAGATCTGAAACATCGCTTGATAAAAATATCTCTTATCATACCTTTGTCAACTTATTTATTTCCACATGACAAAATGCTTATTGACTTGTATATACCTCACGAACTTTTCAAAAAATATACTTGGTATTAAACTTTTTCTGATTTAATCTCTCCAGATTTTGCATCTTTAATTTTTTCTTCTGAATCAGTTTTCTTCTCAGATTTTTCTTCATCTCGTTGCAATACCAACTTAAATAAATAACTTTAAATGAAAAAATGTAATAAAAACTTTGTTGTCAATGAGATCGTCTAGAGCAATAACCGTTCGAGCAAGATTTCCCAAATATATACGCATTGCTTGGTCATTACTCATTGAGTTGTGGGCGTCAACAAAGTCTGGCGAAAGAACATCAGGAAGCAAATTAAGAATTTCCTGAATAAAAAAAGATCAAACGACTTTAATACAAGAAAGGCTAAAATACACAAATTTAATTCCATTTTAGAAAATGGAAAAAAACCACAATCACTCAAGCCCAAATTTTGGGTACATGATTCGAAACAAAACATGGTTTCGTATTCGACCTCACATACTCCATTAACTACTGGCAACCCAGATCTAAAAATCAAAAAAAAGAAGGAAACAAAAAAATCTTTTACCGAAGATTCACTATTTATCAGGATCGAACCAGAGGAACTATTGAGAATTAAAGAAACGTCTACAAAGTTACCTGGAAATGGTAGATTATTGAATGATTTACAGGCAACTCCTTATTAACTACACGTTTTGCATAAAGTGCCATTTTTGCCAATTGGTGTTGAAATCCAACCAATCCCAAAAATTGATTAGTAATTCTTTGTGAGAGAGTTCCGGCAGTTGAATTTTTAATGTCCCTTAAATTACTTGATTAAAAAGAAAAAATATTTTAGAAAACCTTAACAAATGTTCAACCCCAACTTCTTCAGCCTCTTCAGCACCAATCTCACAAGGAACATGTTCAAAAGTCTTTATTGGAGGAGATCCATCCTAAGAAATATATTAAATTTTAAAAATTAATTTTATAAAACAAACATCATGAACTTCTTGTACTTCAACATAAGCATCTGTAGGAAGTCCCAAATTCATTTGTTCATGGCTAGCCTGACTAGCTTGGATAATTACAAGTATAGGATTAGGCACAAAACGTTTGATGACTTCGTTTATGAGAATATCATTCTTACACAGCTTCGGTCCAGTGTGGTACCAACCAACAATTTTCTCACGGGCAGCAACTTTGTAAAACATTCCAAACATATCTTCCAAATAATCAGCGTCCAAAAAGAACACATTTGAATCTTCAGCATCTTCGTCATAAGGAACTGAAAAATTAAACTCTTTGTAAAGACGATATTTTTTAATTTTTATATGCGTTCGCACTTCAAGTGTACTCGAACCATGAAAAATACATTTAAAAATAATCTTACCAAATCAAAAAATCTAAACAATCCTACAAAATCAAAATTGAAGAAAAAATTACGTTCTAGAAATCCTAACAAAAATAATATAAAAACAAACCTACCAGCAAAAGAATTAGAAGTGTCAATAGTTTTATCAGAACCCATGCTTCCCAACAAAACGCCAACAACTCTGCTGACTCTTTGCGTCTTACTGATTCGATTAAAATGGTCAACAACGCTCAAAAGTACCAAAGGGTGCACAACAACCTTAAAAAGAAAAAAAGTAGAGAATAAAATAAAGAAAATTAAAATAACCTTATTTACAGGAAGATTCGCCTGAACACTGCTTAAACAATGACTAACTTTCAACTTTTCATTCTCTTTATTAGCATTGTCTTGACCAGGTAAAGGTACCATTTTTGCAAATTTAATTAATATATTGATTTTACTAAAAAGTAATAAGAAAAATTTACAACGTGATATATTAAAAATTGTAAAAAAACGTCACCAGCAATATAAAAATTTGGTGAAAAAACTAACGAGCAAAAGTGAAAAGTTGAAAAATCATCGTTTATTTTAAATTTTGGCGTTATGTATTTATTGGGATATTTTGTCATTTTACAATATTTCAGAAAGGACCATTCATTTTTGGTATTGGAGAGAATAGAGTGAATTTATTAAAATTTTTGGATTTTATCGTTATTAAAATTTGTATGTATAATTCGAATCAGAAAAAATTGTTACAATATTTTTCTTTGAATAATTTTAAAATTAAAAAAAAACAATTTTAAACACATTACCGGAAAAGAAAGGTGTATTTTAAAGCACACACAAACTCAACAAAACAAAGAGTTTCGGAATAATTTTATTTTTTTTACAATTTTTAAATTAATATAGGTCTTCTCTATTAGCGTCAAAAGTTGAAAAAAATTGTGCAATTAATTACACAAAATAAAAAAAAGTTTATAATATACGCCCCACTCTCAGTTGCGCAGCTCTTTTCAATTTTTATTATAAAATTAAATGAAATAGGTTTATATATTTTTCCGCTTTTTACTCTCCTACTTTATAAAATAGTTAATTTATAAAAAAATGAATTCCCATTTTTCTTTATCCTTTGTACTTTTATTATTCCAAATATTTTATTTTATCCTTGTTTTTGGAAGCACGGCTAAATCCGTTGATATTTTCTTTGAATTTAAATGTGATGAAAATTGTTATAAATTACTGAGAGATTATCAAAAATTACTACCACAAATGATTCTCCAATTGAGGTTGCATTTTATTTTTTATTAAATATTTTTTTGTTTGATATTGTTCTCCGATATATCTTTATCCTCTGTCCCGAGGATTTGGGATGAGATTCCTCGTGGCGTTATTATTGCCAGCATAAATACAAAAAATAATACAAAAATTTTTTAATTTCCTCACAGTTTGTGTATATGCCCCTATTTTCTATCTTCAAAAAATAATATAAAAACGTGTGATTGTAAAACTGGCATCTTGGAAGTACCAACAAATCAACAAATATTCCCAATAAATTTTGGCCGCTCTTTCCCATTTAAGGTAATTAAATGATTACCCAAATTTAAAAAATATTTGTATTTGTAAGGGCAATTCTTCTGTTGATTTTGCCTATCTCCGATTGTCAAAATTTGAGACCAACATGCCTCTAACATTTCCGGAATATCAGAAAATAGATTACAATTTTAATTCTGAAAATACTGGTAGTTTGATTTTGAATGTTTCAAGAAACATAATCAGGCGAGTGGAAGAGAAAAAATATAGTCTTAAGGATATTAATAGTAGCTAATAAAGAATTAAAGTTAATAAAATTTTCTGCGATTTTTTTGTAAGCGAGATCAATGTAAAGCATATATGTAGCTATTTAATTCCTAACACATCAGTCCGGACTACTGAAGATGCTGGTTCGCTCCCAGCCACCGAATAACCTTTTGGACTAGCTAAAGGAGAGAAATAGCTATAGCCCAGCTGTTTTACTTTAATTTATGATTTCAAATAAACAAATTTTAACGAAATTTTTATTTAGCATTCCCTATTCAATTCATCTTAACCCAACAAAATTGTTAAAGAAACGTTCAATAAGATACTACTATACAAAAGTAAAGAAATGGAATTGGTTTAAAAATACATGGAAACCGAAAACGACAACGGGATTTAAATTATTTGCTGATAAAATTAAGCCGATATCCAGTCAAGCAAGAGCAAGTCCTTTAGCTATTTTACCTTCAAATCTTGGACCTCCATTATGTCAAATGATTACGAAAATGGGCTGGGATGTAAGTATAATTGAAATTTTAAAAATATTTTTCTTTTAAAGGCAAACCAAATAAGGAGATATATAATGGAGGATGCAGCAATTAAACGTATTCATCCACAACAATTTGATGTTGCACATTTTAAAAGAGCGGTAATTTATTAAATTTATTTGGTACCTATCCGTTATACACCACAAACTGCCAGCCGACTTTGATCGGCTATAACTTTTTGATGCTTGATTCAATACAAATGAAATTAATATCATTCGAAAGCCTTCGAGAAGCTGTATTTTTTTCTAGTAGGATAAATTTAGTCTGATCGCCCTTCCCTTTCGTTTGATATAAAATTTATTTGTATTAAATCAAGTTTCAAAAAGTTATACCAGATCAAAGTTGGCCGCCACTCAGTTTTTGGGTGTATAACGGATAAGTACCATTTATTTAAAAATTTTTATTTTCTTTTTCCACTCAAAATTTTTTATTTCTTAATTAAAGTTGGGTCCCATTTTTAATTTTCAACATTTATTTTTAGAAATAATTAAATTTAAAATTAATTTACAAAAAATTTAATTTTTAATCTCTTTATTTTCAACATTTTATTTTTTATAAAAAACTGGCAGATTGCCTTAACCGGGAGCCAATTAATTTTAATATCCCGCTGTCTCATTTTAATATAATTTATTCATTTCTAAATTTAGAGATTTTTAATTTTTAAACTTTTTGGAGTACCTAATTTCCTTTTCAGGTTATTGAAGCACACAATCGTTATAGAAGATTACATGGGACTAATGATTTATCACAAGATGGGGCTTGCGAAATTGCTGCCAAACGGTGGGCTGACTCGGTTTCGAGACAACCTGCTTGTCTAACACATGAACCTCAACAAAGGTGAATTAAAGATGATAGGCTTAGAAAACTGACATAAGTCAAGGAATTCCTAAAAATAAGTCAAGAATAAGTGACTGACTTCATTGACGGTACTCTAAAACTTCTAAAATGCTTCTTTTGCAGATTTGGCGAAAGTCTATTCTTCTATTCAACATTACAACCTTTAATTTCTGACCCTGAAACAATGGCTGAAGCAACTGTTAGAACATTTTATATAGAAGGAAGGGATTATAGACGTTCAGCTCGTTGGGTTGCTTCAAGACACGGGCATTTTACCCAAATGCTTTGGAGGGACACAAATCGAATCGGAATTGGGGTTTCAATAATTCCCCAGCCTGCAGGATGGGGATGTATGCCTCCTGGACGAGGACAAGCCTGGATATTTTATGTTGTTTTGAGGTATGATCCTCCAGGAAATAGAGTAATTAGTGAAAGAAGTTTTGATGAAAATGTTTTGCCGGTAGAAAATAAGGATATACAAGCTGTGCAGTGTTTAGCTACATAAATAGATATTAGGAATTATCTTTGAATGTTCTAATAGAAGGATTAATTTTTTGAAATAAAATCTTTATAGATCTAAAATCCTTCTCGGAATTCAGTCATACAGCTAAAATTGTAATTTAAAGTATGCCTTTTCTTTTTTTATTAGAGCAAAATAATAGGATTTTAATCAAAATAAAACTCATTCTTTTCACTAAATTTTATTTGTATACTATGTTAAAATATTTTAATTTTCAATTTTTACTTTTCATCATCCTTTCAATTTTTAACAAATTTTATTTTTTATCACCAATAAAATAAAAATATATGTACATTTTGTATTGTTTAAAAAACAAGGTAAATATATAGGTATTTTACATTTTTTGAGTACACTTAAATTTTATTTTTTTAACAAAAGACACATTTTCATTGCAGACAGTCATGTGCATAAATAAATAAAAGTGTATGAATATTATTTATTAAAATTAATTATTAATTAATTAAACTTAAATTAAATTGTCAAAAAATTAAACTTTTATTTTAAAATCAGAGAGAAGATTTATTTTTGTTATTTTCTTTTTTTTCTAAAACCTTTTTTGAGTGATAATGATTGTACTTAAATAATGTACTTGAAAATGATTGATAAAATAAAAATAAAAGATAACAATCTCAGAACACATTAAAAAAGTTTTTTTGTTAAAAAATATTTTAAAGAAAATTAAAAGGGGGTTTTCTCAATAAAAAACGTTTTATTTTAGGAAATTATAAGGAAACTATATTCTTCTATTTTTGTGTAAATTTTTGTAAAATTAAAATATTTTAAAATTTAACTTGGTTGATTTAAATTAAGAGGAAAGAGAAGATTTAATGGAAGGAAAAATTGAAATTTGGTTTTTAATTTTGATGAGTTTTGAACGATTATTTTCTTAATTGAACTGAAAAAAATTGTTTGAAATATTCCTCTGAAATAATAAAAGGCACACCAGGAGCAAGGGAAGTTTTGGAGTGATAATTGTCGAAGGATTGATGAATGAGCAAAAACACGGCAGTGCTTAATGAGATATTTTAATTTGTAAAATTCTTTCCACCTAAATCCTGGTTTTTACACTTTTATTTATTAGGTGCGAACATAATAGTGGCCGTTTGCTTTAGTCCGCACTAGAGTTGATCAAAACGATACTGGTATCGGCCAACCCGAGATCAACTCTAGTCCGCACCTAATAAAATAAATAATTACACAGATACATATATTAACATTTCTTAAATATTTTACTAAAAATTTATGACTTAATTTTTTCCTAAAAATGTTTCCATGACAACTAAAAATAAAAATCTTGATTTCTTTAAAAAAGAATGACTGACATAAAATAAAAAATTTAAAGAATATTTAAAAAATGCTTTTTTTATTGTTAGCCCTTCCTTTGGATTTGTTATTTAATGCAGCCAACTCTCTCCTTTATTATGATAATAATGTACAACTTATGCTTATTTTGTATGTTTTAAGGAATTTAATAATTATTTTAAAAAAATATGAAGATAGAATGGAATTTCAAGTGTTTATTAATTTTCTTGAAGTTGGGTGAATAAATTTCAAATTTTCGTCTTTTCAGACTTCAAGACACACTCCAAGTGCTAGCCATCCTTGGATTAGCCATCCGCTTTTCATCAACTTTTGTATTCCAAGCAGGTCTTATTGGACATTTATTGCGTAGATTTAGTTGTTCTATAATTGTTGCATTTCTTTATTTGGCCTTATCTATAATCTACCATTTTTTCTCTTTAAAAGAAAATTGGTTATCTAAAGAAAATACTAAAGATAAAGAATATTTTGGTTGGAAAACACCAAAAACATTTTTGTTTTTATTGCAAAGGACTGGTTAATAATTTTTGACAATAAAAAAAATCTTTTTCAATTTAGTGGCAATATTCTACTACTTTTTCTATAAAAAGACTGTACTGATGCTTAGCGATCCAAAATATCATAGCGAATCTGAATGGTTGTTAAGAAAGATTGGAAAACGTATTGTAATTAATTAGCTGAGTGCATGAAAATACTTTAAATTTTTAAAAATTAAAATTTAAACGTCCATCGAATTAATTATTTTTCTTTTTTTTCACTCAAAATATAATTTGAACAAGTTGAAGCAAAAAATATTATAACGAAAATTTTTTTTCCATATTTTACTGTTCTAATATTTCTCTAGCATTTTAGTTAAAAATGTATTAGATGTTTAGGGATTTCATTGTTCCGATGCTCGAAAATCGGGGATCCTCGACGTTTTATTGTGATGGAAATTTCGACTCTAGAATTTTCTAAAAAAATATTTCTAAAAAATATTTAGATCTCTGTATTGTTTTATTCCTTTTTTGCACTTAAATTTCTTTTTTGTATTGCTCATTTTCACAGCGTTCTCTAAGTCAGTACTTTGAGCTCTTTTAACCGGCTGTCCGACTTCACAAAATTATATCCTTTCTCAATGCTTTTTCTCTGCCATCCATTTGACTTATTTTTGAAAGAATGTTACCAGATGCGGCCTAGCACTCAGACTAGGTTTCCTCACATTTTGCAATTCATTCTCTATTTAATTTTATTTTTTATGAAAGCAAAGAACGATTTCATAACTCAAAAAAGGAAATTTATTGTTAGTCCATTTGAAATAAAATTTTATTTATAGCAGCTTAAAATCAAGAAACACGCCTCCCATTCAATTCAAACAGAAAACAATAAAGTAAATGACCCTTTAAAACAGAATTTTTTAATATCTTTTATTTATTCTTTAATTTTGTTTTTTTATTTGTTTAAAATATTTTAAACTTTGCTTTCACGTTAATCGATTAAAGAACGAACTAAAAAACGTTAATTTTTACGTTAATTTGTCAACAACTGTATTTTCAATTTTACTACAAACTTGATACTTTTTTCTACTAGTGTTCGGCAATTAATATTTTCATTATCGGTAATACCTAATAAATACCGATATTGAAGAAAATTTTTGTCTTCGAAATGAAGCAGTTCAGCTGGGTCCGCATGGTTGAGGATATCGAGGGATATGGGGGGATTAAAAGGGATTAAGGTTGATTAACGGTGCCGAACACTACTTTTATTAAGAAGGTCTCAAGTCAGGTAATACCAAACCGATCCGAACACTACTTTCTACTTTATGTGTTTACAAAAATATAATTTCTATATAAATTCTTATTACATAAACTCTGTAAATATCCATCTCGTAAACTATGTAGTACATATGTCCGAAAAATGCATCCTGCAAAAAGCATTTTTCAGCGTTCTACCCTTCTGCTGCTCTTTCCTAATGATGTGTTGAACATAATGTAATTTTCGTTACATTATGGTTTTGAGTGCGGTTTATTTATGGGATTGCCGTAATTGAAATCCAAAATGTTATAAATAGACCGAAAATGGAATCAGATTTGAAAATATATTCTGCGCTACGTTTTTCGTTACTTTGGCATTTTGTCATTAAAAGATTCAAAGTTCTTTATCGTATTTTTTATTACAAAAAACTTTCTTAATTCTCCGTTAATTTTTAGAATACGTGATTATTACATAAAAACTTTATATTCAAAACATGTCTGAAAACGGTATTTTTGTGCCTGTTGCGCCGATAGAATCAACGCCTCAGAACAAGGTTACCATTGTTGGAGTTGGTCAAGTTGGAATGGCTTGTGCTTATTCAATTCTTCAGCAGGTAATTTCTAATATCCTCAATTTTTAATCAAAGATTCAATCACAGAATATTGCTACTGAAATTTGCCTTACGGATGTTTTGGCTGATAAATTGCAAGGAGAAATGATGGATTTGCAACATGGATTGGCATTTACCCATAACACTTGTATTGTGAATGCGAGCACCGGTATCTTCTTTTGACTCTATTAAAAAATACCAATAAGCTGGGACACGCCCCGATAGGTTATGGCTTTGCGCCGTTATGGCCACGCGCCTACTTGGGCTGTACCCTAATAAACTTTATCTCCTTTCTTTTAAATTTTCTCAGACTATGCTAAAACTGCTGGATCAAAAATTTGTGTTATTACTGCTGGGTGTCGTCAACGTGAAGGCGAATCTCGTCTCAGTCTTATTGAGCGCAACGTTGTTATCTTCAAGGGAATTATTCCGCAATTAGTTCGTCATTCACCTAATACTGTGTTTTTGGTTGTATCAAATCCCGGTTTTCTTTAAATTAATTTTAATCTTTATTTTTTATTTTTAGTGGATATTTTGACTTATGTGACTTGGAAATTGTCTGGACTGCCAAAGGAACGTGTTTTTGGATCTGGGACAAATTTGGATTCTGCTCGTTTTCGTTTCCTGCTTTCTGAGCGTTTGAACATTTCTCCTTGCAATTGTCATGCTTTTATTATTGGAGAACATGGAGACTCGAGTGGTGAGTTCTTTAAAAAAACTTTTTGATTTGGAGAAAAAATTCTTTTAGTGGCGGTTTGGAGCGGTGTTAATGTAGCGGGTGTCAATCTCTCTGCTCATGATCTCACTACTTGCGCTTCAAATTCTAACGCAAAAAATGATGATGGAAAATTGGAAGAGGAGATTCATAAAAAGGTTGTGCAAAGTGCTTATGAAATTATTCGTTTGAAAGGATATACGAGGTTTTTTCTGAAAATATTTTAAAAATTTATTGGAAATATTTTTAGTTGGGCAATTGGACTTTCTGTTGCTTCTATTGTTCAGGGTGTGATGCGCAATAGTCGTAATGTTTTTGCATTGACAGTGAATATTAAGGTACAAAAATTAAATTTACGATTTTTTATGGAATGGGGTAAGGGTTAGGTCATAGAAGAACTTGAAGGTAAAAAGGAGTTGAGAACGAATTATAGTAAGAGGTTAACATTACAACTCCTAACGGTTCCATATTTTGATTTTAGTTTAAAAAATTCATGCAAGGGCCGGGATTAGAGCATACGACGATGAAAAGAAATAGTTTCGGTGATAGTTCACTGACCCCCCCCCCTCCATGTTTGTTTCCCTAACCATTTTGAACTTTTTTTTCTTGTAAAAAATATTCTTTAATTTTAAGGGAATTCATGGATTTGAGGATGATATTTTCCTTTCGCTTCCAACTGTTCTTGGTTCGAATGGAGTCAACTTTATTGTTCGTCAGAATTTGACGCCTAAAGAGCTCGAGCAACTTCGTGGGTCTGCTACTCAATTATTGGAAATTCAAAAAACTTTGAAGCTTTGAATAATATGGGGAATAATTAAATATGTAGTTGGTAATATATTAAATAACATTTTCCCCTTAAATTCTGTTGTGAGCTTAAATTTCTTTTATTTTTGTTTGGCTATAAATTAGTTTTTTAAATAAATTATTCTAAAAAGTAATTAAAGTATTTCCAAACTTTTCTTTAAATAATGCCAACATTGCCATCCATGAACGTTTATCGGCTTGTTCATTATAACCAACACCTTCACGTGTAGAATTGGGATTTAATAGTTGATATAAACCCAAAAAAAGAATAAATGAGTCGATTAAATGGCACTGCCAATGTAGACCAAGGAAAAGGTAAAATCCAAAAAAGACCAGTTCCTGATTCCCATTCTTTTCTTAATCCAATAATTCCAAAAAAATATTTACCTTTATCAGTAAATCCATGTTTAGCATTTCCATAACTAATAAATTGCCAATCTGCTTTTCTAGCACGCATTTCTGCCATAACATTCATACACTTTAAATATTTTACTTTGTTTAAAACCCCAAAAATTAAACTTGTTCATGTGGAATGTGAGTGTCAGCATCCCCATGACATATTAAAACACTAGCTTCAATAGGTTTTTCTTTTTCTGGATCAGGTTGATCAGGAAGGGGCGTAAAAGTTCCATGAAAACTAACAGCTATTTTAACTCCAACATTTACTCTAGCCAAGTCTAATGCACAAAGACCACCAAAACAAAATCCAATTACCGCAATCTTTTTAAAAATATTTAAATTTAAAGAAAAATTCTTTTTAAAAAACTTTTTCTTTATCACAAGCCATCTGATCTCTTAAACATTGTAATCCAAGAAAAAGCCGTCGTCTTAATAAATTTGTTCTATCCTCACGAAATGGCTTTAGAAGGGCCATATTTTCCTCGAAAGATTGCCCTCGTTTGCCTTTTCCATACAAATCAGCAGCAAAAGCAATATATCCAGCCTTAAGATTTTTAATAAAGAATGTTCTTAAGCGTAGTACAAAGTAGAGATCGAGCTGGGCCTGGACAAAGGCCTGGGTTTTTTCTGTACCCAGAGTCCAGGCCCAGGCATTTTTTACCTTTCTGGGGTTTTCCTGAGGTTGGGTTTTTCCTGGACTACATGCCCAGGATCCGGCCCTGGTTAATAAACTAAACCCGGAACCCAGGAACAGGCCCAGGCTTTTCAAAAATCTCGATCTCTAGTACAGAGAATATAAAAATATTAACAACTTTAGCGAGTTCTCGACATTTTTCTTCTTCCAAATTTCTAATACCTCCAAAAGCGTGGCAAACCAATACTCCAGGTATTGGTTCATTAGGCACAGTTCTGTGACTAATTAAATGAAAATTAAATAAAATTTTAATTTCAAAAAATACTCAGGCAAACAAACAAATCCTTCTAACAAAGTATTGTCTATTTCATCAGTATATTCGTATCTATCTTCATTAATTATTGGCTCTATCTTTTCTTGGACAACATCAGCTTCTTTTTTTGGGGTTGAAACATTTTTTTTCTTGGGCATTATCCTAAAATTATATCGAGAAATAGTTGTTCAGTTAAACATTTGCTAATTCAAAAATTGATAAAAAAATAAACACCCCATTGCTAAATACATAGATGTAAAATAAAAAAATATTTTTCTCCCATTAGAGTTTTGGTAAATTATTTCTCTCTTGTTGCTTACATAAAATTAATAATGGTGTCAATTAGTAGCAGTAGATTACATGTATTGAAATTGAAGAAATACCGGGTCCATTCGGTTCTGGCATCGGTTTCAAGTAGATGATCATCGAAATTAGTGGAAAGGACCCAACGTTTTCGTTACTTTTGGTGTCTCATATTTTATGGACATAATAATTAAATTATTCTTCGTCATAATTTTTGTAATTTTAGAAATGCGTAATTTGTAAAGCAGATTTATAAATATTTGAGACAATATTAGAGACTTACAATAGCTTTACAAATATTTTTCTAAAGAATATTTAATTAAAAATAACAAAAAGTATATGTATGTTGTAATAATAAAAGTACATAAAAATTAATTTTTATCTTTTTATTATTCTCTCTCATTTGCAAAATCCACAAATCCCTAACGGCTTCCTTCCTTTATAATAATAAAAAATGATGATTGTCATAAAATTAGGGATTAAGAATAATATGTAAATATAAAAAATCCCCCCTCTCTTTCATTCCTCATCATTTAAAATTCTTTCCCTTTCATTTTAATTTTTCAATTTTTTTTTATTTTATAAAAATGCCAACATCCCACGCTTACTTGGAATAAATAATACCGGTAATTTTCTCGGTAACTATATAATTAACTGAAATTTTAGTATATTTTTTTAATTAAAAAAATTATTTGAAGTCAAAAGCTTTAATAAATTAAAGTAGTAATTACCCAAAGGTATTCAATTATTTTTTTTTAAATTTCCCCAAAAGAATTAATTATATATATTTATTTAAATTTAAATAAAAAAATATTTCAGTTTTTTATTATTTTTAAGTTCATTAAAAAATTGTAAAATAAAAAAGCATTTAAAGTTTACGGGAATTATTATTTTACGAAGAATGTCACGCAATTTGTATTTGTACTTGACATTTTTTTTTAAAATTTATTCTCATTTATTTTAATAGTAATTACGAGATTTTATAGTTAGCTAGGTGTTGTAAAGATTATTTTAAAGCTCTGTGTATAGCTTTATATTAATTATAATGTCACGAATTCAACCAATTTATTTCCAACTTTATTTAGAATTTTAATTTGACAATCATAAATCGTCGAGTTATCACGATTCAGACTGTCTCGTGACAGACTGTTTAGTTGGAATGTCTATTTAATCTGTATGTCTCTCAAACAAATTTAGATTTCCCCTTTATTTCGATTTTAATTATTTCCTACTCCAATCATTTTTATCTTTTAATTTCCTCAAAAATTAATTTTATTTTAATTTTTAAATTATTTAAATTAGTTAAATAATTATTATAATATTTTTAATTTAACAGAGGTATTAAACAAATATACACATAAATCTCTTTAAAATGAGCTTCTTCTTTAATTATTTTGTTTTATTTTTTGCTGGAACAATTTTGTCTTTTGTTTCATCAGAAAATGGACAAATATCTGGTATTGATAAAAATGCTTTTCGAATGAGTTTTGGCAAGAGAACACCAAAAACAAATATTTCTCCTTCTGATTGGTCACTTATTGACAGAAATTCTTTTCGAATGAGTTTTGGAAAAAGATCTTCTTTTAATGACGACGAACAACAATTATTTGACAAGAAGTTAAAAGCGGTGTGTTTTAATTAATTATACTTCCTTTTAATAAGCCAACTTTAAGGACTCTAGCAAACAATCTTAAACATCCTTAAGATATGCAAAGATTGTCTAGATAGTAGATGAAAGAAGCGATTGATATACATATCACGGGAATTGGACATATCTATCTCTCAAACAGAATTTAAAAAATTCTCTTCCCAGATTTTCCAAATACCTGGAATATTCCAAGTTCCTACTCCAAATTTTCCCAATAGAAATTCGCCTTTCCAAGTCAGTTTCTCTTATTTCCAAGTAAATTCTTCTAATTTCCCACTTCAATTCCAAGTTTCGAAAAGTTGAGAAATAACCTCTGTGTTATGCCTGGAATTTTTTTACAGAATTTTATTTTCTGAGTAATTCGAAAATCTAATCTGCCCTAGAAGAATTAATTAAAACTTTTTTCTTGTTAATTTAAAAATTTCTTTTAGCAGAAAACAGTCAACATTCCAATGTTTTTTGATTTGGATAAATCTGTTTTGCCATACCAAATTGTTCGTCAAATGAAGCAAAGACGATGGATATCCCCTTATAATCTTTTAAATAATAAAAGATTGGACAGAAATTTGTTTAATATAGGCTTTGGGAAAAAATGAAAAGAAAAAAAATTAAACACAAAAACAGAAATTTATTTGTTTTAATTTTATTCTTATTTTGTATAATTATGAGAGAATATGTGTTTATATTCTTTAATTAGTATTAAATATTTTATATTTAAATATTTTTTTTGAATTTTTGAAAAAAAATTAATTTTAAATTATTTTTTGGGTTTTTTAGAATTTTAAATGAATTTTTTAGGAATTTTTTGTAAAGTATATTTTGAGTAATAGTCTAAATTTTTGTTATTTTTTTCTTTTTTTAATTAAGTAAAATGAACCAAAAAATATTATATTACATAGACAAATGTAGAACAAAACAGAAATTTCATAATAACATTAAATTAATGAATGGGTGGGAATATTGGGGGTGTTTTTGGGTTTTTTTGGGTTTGTTAACAAAACACAAAATTTTGAACAGTCGTATAAACAAAGGGGGTTTTTTCCAAATTTTAAAATAAGTATAACTTTAAAACATTTTTTCACGATCAAAATTAATAACAATCACTCTGCTTATTTAAGCACTAAAAAGGATTTTTGTCTACCTAATCGTAAACTTTTAACTTTACATACTAGTTTTTGGATTTTTTCAATTTATGAAGGACGAGAAATTCCGTTACTTTTATTCATATAATGTTCTACTAATGAAAAAATAATTACTAAATATATTTTATACATTAACAATCACACAAAAATTACTTTTGGTCTAAAATATGTAAGTTTTTTGCCGTTTTTGACTATTTCCAGGCCGAGGAAGTAATCCTTAAGAGATCATTCGTGAACGACGTCAATTAACTATTTATTACGTTTAAAATATTTTTTACATAAATATATTTAAAAAACTTTATTTAAAAGATTCTTAGCAGACAATTCTCCTCATTTTTAATAAAAAATATTGAAATTCAAAACTAATTTAAATATTAAAGAATCTTCATTAGCAACTATGCGCATTTTTTCTAGTCTTTTTCTAATTGGCCGGAAGTAACCTAGATAAATAAATAAATATACATTTATCTATATTAGATATATTTCTCACGTTTCTTTTAAAATAAAGAAAAAATATTTAGAAAAAAAGGAAATTTACATATATTTATATAATTTTTATTTACAAAAAAAAATCCCAAGTTTTTTTGCTAAAATTGAGAGAGGGTTATTTATATATTTTTAATTTAAATAATTAATTAAGAGACAGCTAATTTTGTGAGGAAGTATATAAATAAAGAATTTATTTCAAAAATGTTACAAACTCAAAGATTATAATTTTGAATTAAATTATTAAAATGTCGTACAATTATTTTTAGGAAAATATTTAAATAATTTTTAATTTTTATTTATTTTTTAAAATTATAATTTTATAAATTTCACTGAATTAATTTAACATTTGGAAAATAATTTTTTATATAAATAATTTGTTTTTAAATATTTTTATTCATTTTTTTCTCTTCACCTTTTATACCATTTTAATTAACATTTTCTTTTGTAATTTTTTAATTATTTAAACAATTAAATGTACATTTATTTAGTACTTTAATTCTTCTTTAATTGACGTGTCCTTTTCTCATTTTTTCAAATTAGAGGACATTTAAAGTTAATCTAAAATAATTAAAAATTTAATAATAAATAATTGCTTCCTTTTTATCTTAAAAGTTTAAAACTATAAATTTGTCCTTTTTTGGATAATAAATGTCTATTTAAATTACTAAAAATATTAATGACATTTATAAAATTCAGCTAGAAGCTTGAATATCTCGCAAAAAGCATTTCCTCAATATTGCCGGTACTAAACAAATAATGAATTTATTAACAGAGTTGATTCATTACTAACATAAACTACCTATACTTATTAGAATATATCCAATCCAGACTTTAATTTTCCCCGTTTTTAATTCCTCATCGCCACATAATTTTATTAAAACCCCTTAATTTATAAATATTTTTACTCAAATAAATAAAAAGAAATTATTTTTTAATTAATTTTTTTAAAAATAAAATAAAAGTCTGGGGCAATTCTTTTCTCAAAATTATTTCAAAAAAATTTCTGTCTTCATTTAAAGATTATTTTATTTTTTATTTAGCAACTCAATTCAACCAAAAAAATATCCATTAAAACATCCCCTAGTTAATCTTTAAATATTCTAAGCGGAAACTAAAATCTTTTAACATTCTTATTTTGAACATAAAGTGCAATAAGTATGTAAAAGAAAAAATATTTTTATTTATTTGACTCAATTCAGAAAAAATGTAAATATTTTTAGTATATTTATTAATGTTAATCTTAAATGAAAATATATTTTTGATATTTTAAATTTAATTTATAGTAGTCAGAAGTTTTAAATTTAAAATAAATTTTAAGTAAATGTGCTATATGAGAATTTAATTTTGTAAAATAGTTTGGATAGATTCTTTGGGTAAATGTCCAGCTCGCTATCCAGATGTCCACAAAAGGGTTTCCGCTAAAAAATCATTTTTTGCTTCATTCAACTTCTTACCGTCTCTTGCTTATTTTCCCTAAATTATCAAATGATTGGCTTTCAGTTAGGCGCAAGTAATAAGAACGCCGAAGAGTAATGAGAACATACAGATGGACAGCGAGCTAGACATTTACCAATTCTATGAAATAATTATTCCTAATTTTATGTAAATTTTCTGATG